AGATTTGTTGCTCTGGACCAGACAGTGGCAGCAAGCAAAGACGTACAGGCTAACCTGGAAAAGCAAAAGGGGTCACTGGCAGGCGTCTAGGCTGCAGCTGCGTCAAGATCCCTGCCAGGGTGATTGCCAGCTGGGAGCAGACTTAAACAAAACCCATCAGTGCCTCCAAGCTGATCGCGCAGCTCGATTCACACTCCCAATCTTTGCTTTCCAGCAGGAACCCACACGCATGAATTTTGTTTCCCCTGTGGGTAAGCCACCCAATCCAAATGACAAGGCAGGACATTGAACAAAAGGGAGCCAGGAGCCGGCACCGAAAGAAAATGGAGAGGGCTACGGTGTAGTTGGTTTCCTGTACTCAAGTTGAAGCCCACATTGTCTGAGAATATTTGGTATTTATTCTAGCAGAGTGCAACGGCTGAGTGCTGATCTTAGGGCTGTCACACAGGGCACTTGCTTAAGCACCTGTAACTTAGGCAAAAACAGAAAAGAGCCATGGATTATTTCAAGTAAGCCTTTTAGGAATAGTGCAAGAGAATGAGCCCTAAACTTATTTAAAGAAGCCCCTAGTACTGGCTTAAAGAGACGCTGATAGTCATTCTAAATGGTGACCCCATACACTGCCCTCTAAAATTACTTCTCACTGTGACCTCCCCCTGCTCCATGCATCAAGTATTTATAAGTGGCTTGCCCAGTCCTTCTTTCTAGTGGTGCTCTGGAACCATGCAACTTGCCCAAGGGTGCGCCACACAGGTGGTAAAGCATATAACCCCGTCAACCATACATGGGCCATGATCTCCTCTGGTCGCTCTCTTGGGTGGCACAGTGAGGATGTGAACTCGCACCCCCTGCATGCACCACACCACTGAGCTGCGCCACATCTCTCAAAACAGAGAGATATAACATAAACAGCACATGTATGGATATTATCACACAGTCCAGAAATTATATACCAGCTACATACTTATTGGGGAAGTTTACATGCATCTGGCCTCTTCCAGATGTTTTATTGACAATTCCAGGCCCTCGGAGCACTGGTCAGGTTGGGGAAGGTTGCAGAAGGGAGTAAGCCTCCAGAATACCATTGGGCACCCACACACACACACACACATCACAAGAAGCAGCCACAGGACTGGATCAACTAGATCACAATGCACAACATTTGACACATCAGCTCCAGCCCGAAGCACGCTTACTAGGAAGTAAATGCCATTAAGCACCATGAGCCCTGATTCTGAGCAAACAGGCATGGGATTGCATTGTCAACTAGCCTAGGCTTCGAATACACTACATTGTGTAATAATAATAATAATGTGCTGTCAAGTCAATTCTGGCCATTGGTGACCCTTTCCAGGGTTTCCTAGGTAGAGAAGACTCAAAGTAGTTTGGACTTTCCCTTCTTGCAGGAAGCACAGGAGGGGAATTGAAATCCCAACCTCCGGCTCCACATTCTGACTTATGGCAATCCTGTCCAGGGTTTCCCAGGTACAGGATATTTAAAAGTGGTTTCCCATTCTCTTCTTCTGGGGGGTGGGTGCCCTGGGACTGTGCAGCTGGCCCAAGGCTACCCTGGCTGGCTGTACTCAGAAGAGAGGGGGCACAGTGGCTGAATCGAACTCCCAACCTCTGGCTCCACAGCCTAACCACTGAGCCATCCAGCCAGGTCTACATGGTCCACCAAGCATTTTACATGTATCTTGGCTGCTTTTCCAGCAGTCCCGTAGGCAGGCCAGTGTTATGGTCATCCTCACATTACAAAGGAAGGGCGGAAGCTGAAAACCTGCTGATTCCCTTCAAGCCTCATAATGAATAGGCAGGAATGATTTACAGGAAGCCCCCCCCCCATTTCAGGGCTTCTCAGCCTGCCTTCTTAACTATGAAAGGTGATGCACCAATTCCTCCAGAAGAGAACCGAATGGAGAACGCTGCTCCAGAACACAGATACACGCAAGCAGGTCCATTGAATGAAGCCGGAGAGTAGAGCCAGCCTCTAAGACGTCCAAAGGAAGCAAAGCCATCCTTCAAGGTGCTGAAACCTCTCCGGAGATCCACTTAAAGATGAACAAAAGCAAGAAAGACCTGTTATTCTATGCACAAAGGTAAGGGCACAGAAACCCAGCCCGGAATGTTCACCGTGGAAACCCAGAACAGGGACTGTATGAAAAAGGATGCATACAAGTAGTATCTCGGTGCTGTACCTCGTCACTGGCATGTTAACATGTGGCTTATTTTATCACACAAGTGTCTCCGTTGTATTTCCAAACAAAAGCAGCCTCACCTAGTCTCTGCAGAATGAGAATTCCAATGGGTTAATTCTGAGCATCAGAAAAATACTGTGTGCCTGTTTTGATCAGTGGTTCCCAAACCTTTAAGCACCAAAGCTTTTCCTTTAAAAAAACAAAAAACAAAAAAAACCCTTCAAACCAGCCAGCCTTCCTTTTATTATTCTCCAATCCCCTTTTAGTGGTAAGTATTCAATTTGCAATATCATATTTTTTAAAAAGAAAAAGAAACTTTGGGGAAAAGGACACAATTGCAGCAGAAAAATAGACAAGTTTTCTTGCCATAAAAATTAGTATCTGTATTGCATGAAGTTCTGTTTTTTTTTTTTTCCTGAAATTTCACAGTCTCCTTTTCCTTTCCTTGACATTTGACTCATGGGTCAGATATGGGATCCTGAAATTACCCATCATCAAAGGGGGTTCGGACAGATCCTACCTAGGACTTTTCATTAAAACAACATCGGAACAAATCTGGATGTTTCCAAAGTACTTTTTAAAGCCCAGGTTCTGAAAGTCTAAACAAATATTAAAAGCCACCTTTCGAGATGTGGATGCTTTGGTTCTGACTCTGGTGGATCCTGAGGAATAAAATTGCCGAGCTGAGAAGCCACCACCCAGAAGGCCTCCTAAGCAGGCTTTCAAGACCCCACCCGGCCTCTCAGACAGCACTGATCATAATCGGATGTACAGAAAATAATGGAATATTGGCTGCCAGAAGATAAAAGGTAAGTGTTTTACACTTTACCTTCTGCCAAAGTATGGCTGCTATATTTCCGTACAAGCCAGAGTCTACCAGCAAACAAAGTGCAACCTGTTATTAAGCACGCACACCCCACAGAAACAATTTTAAAAAATAAAAGTCAAAACTCAGACGAAACCACAGTCGAAGCATCAGGTGTCATTTCTTCCTTGTCCTGTAGTGGGCGCCAGAGAACACTTCTGCACAGAGCAAGCCACCTGATCTGCGCGCCCCCCCCGCATTAAAAAAAAAAAACACCAATACTCCAATTTTACAAAATAAACCCCCAAACCTGGAGTCGGTGCTGCCGCTTTTAATAAGCAGGCTTCACTTTGATACACCCCCCCTCCTTGCAGACTCTCCTTTCCGTCCCAAAGTATTACTGTGCCATATGCTGATCGGCTTCTTTTCAGGGGGAGAAGAGAAAAACCCGGTCGTCACCCCCCTCTCCCCTCCAAAAAAAAAAAAAAAGCAAAATTGCGGTTTGCCAGCAACGCGAAAGCAATCCAACTACTGGCGCCCACTGATCCAATGGCAACTTAACCCGTTAATGAGACACTCCGTTACCTTCCGCTGAGAAAACACAGACACAGAGGCAGACCCCGTTTCCGCTCGGTATTAGGTAACGCAAGCGAAGACACCCGGGTTTCCAACCTACCCCCCATCCCCTCCATCCACTCTCTCTCTCTCTCCTTGGCCATGAATCCAGGCACCCCAAAGAGGAGGCATAATCTCCTTACACATTCTCCAAGTCCACCCGGGGGGGTTCGGGAGGCGAAAGATCTCCGGAATCACAGGGACAGAGAAGTC